TATTTTACAATATAGTCGACTAATCTACATTATAGTCGACTACTGAAGGCAAAATTCATTTTACAAGTTTCTGTCAAAATACAGTGTAGTCAACTAATAAGCATTGTAGTCGACTACTGAGAAATTTTCTGAATACACAGGGTCTGTTTGAATTCAGTTTAGTCGACTAATCTGTCGACTACAGTCTACAGATATAGTTTTTCCAGATTTCAAAGTTTGAATTTATGACTGTTTATAGCCGTTTTTAAACGTTTTTAAAGTTCAAAAAATTATCTTTTCAAGGGCTATAAATAGGTTATCTGTTCAGAAAAAATGCAGAGACTTACATACCCATAAGCTTTGTTCTTTGTGCATTTTTTCAAGTGAAAAATATTCAGATTTTGAGAAAAAGAAAAGTTTCTGAAATTGCTTCTGAACATCATTCAAATACTTATTGTTTAGCCAATTTACAGAAGTTAGAATCATTCCTAAGCCACTACTACACTACACTACAAATCAAGACTTATAGGAATTGAAATTGTTGCTTCAAAAGTTCTCTCAAGTTGTGAGAGGTGTTAATCTCTTGGTTTAGAGATTGGTGTGCATATTGGCAAGGTGTTTGTCAAATTGGTGTTGTAATTTACAGGGACTTACAAATTGGTCAGGTTTGCTTTTGATTTTGTAAGTTTATTCAAAATCATAGTGGAAACTCTCAAGCAGGATTTGCTTGGGGACTGGATGTACACCGGATTGGTGGAACCAGTATAAATCCTTGTGTTTGTAATTGTGAATTTCTGAGATTGTCATCTTTCTTTGTAATTTATAATCTACTTTGCATAAATTTTAAAAGAACACTATTCATCCCCCTCTAGTGTTCTAGTGTATCTATTTCAGATCCTACAGTAGAATATTTTTATTATTGTAATAAATGTAAGTTTCTTCGAAATGGGGAAGCTGTTGGAGTTGAAGCAAAAATAATTTAAAGAATATGACTTTTGCTCCCCGTTTTGAAGAATTTTTTGAAGAAACTGTTGGAGATGCTCTAAGTGCTTCTGCTCTAGAAATCCTAGCGGCTATAGCTCGCTGTAATTTTTCTTGCTTGCATCTTCAAAGTTTTGGGAAGAATATTGGTTCGTTGCTGACATAAAGTTTCTAGTTGGACCTTTTTGATAACCAACTATTGTTAACCCCCGTGACCAAGTCAATTTTTCTAAAACACACCGATTACACTTCAAATTTCTTGTTCAATCAAATCGCAAAGTTTCATCCAAGGGATTAAACAAAACCTTCAATCATCAGAAGAGTTACGCTCATTCTCACTTCAAATCCAATCATCAAATGGGCAAACCAAAAATAAAAAAAATAAAATAAAAAAAAAAACAATAAAAACTCCCAAATTTAATTAACAAATAAACAAATTAGCATCCATTTAAAGACTCCCCTTTGGGAGTATACAACAACAACAACATACTCACACATCAACACGGCACATATTCACATACACAGTCACAATTTCAAACGGATGGGTACCCCCTTTGGAATCCCCATAACCTTATTTTTTTTTCTTCCCTATGGACAACATAACCGCCAAACTTTCATTGGATTTCACGCAGCTGACAACCTGTCTAGTGGACCGGATCTACCGGATGTTTTGGTTTCTCCAGTCTTCTTCTAACGTTAAGAGCGGCGACGAGATGAGGATCGATAAAGCAAAGATTGCAGAGCAGCCGCGGGCGACGGAGGCGATGAAGATGCGAAGTACTGTCTCGCCTCCGACGAGCGAAACCTACCGCGCGGGCGACGGAGGCGATGAAGATGCGAAGTACTGTCTCGCCTCCGACGAGCGAAACCTACCGGAATCACTGGGCAGCCTTATATAGTGAGCCGAAGGGGACTCATTGAACCATGCATTCCCTAGAGGAGCTCCTTCTCCATTCTTGTATTGAACTATGGCTTTGTACACAAAAGGGATGAGTCCTTCCATTTGAGGTTTTTGATGTTTGAAGTTTGGATGAGAGAGAGAGAGGAGGGAGGGAGGGGGGGATTGGTTTATAGAGGAGGGGTTCAACTGGATGAAGTGGAGATTATGTGGAATCCAGCTGCTTAAAATAAGCAAAGAATTTACTGGGTCAGGATTGGCAACTTGAACGCCAATCCTGGTATTGTACAAGAAAGCAGTCATGTTAACATCTTACCAAATCCTCTAATTATTAAATTATGTTTTGGGGTTTGGTAAGTTTTGTACTGGTTTTTATGTGGCATTTTCGGACGAGGGATTTCGTTGGCGGTCCAATCATGAATCGGAACTTATTGTTTACTCTAAAAATCATTTGATTATTGCGAGGCAAATATCTGTGCCTCCTTTGGTGAAGTGTTGTTTTCAATAACGAATTGGCTGGGGGCTAATGGATGGTGATGGGCCTGTAATATGCAAGTTTAATTTCCTCATTTTTTAAATTTTTTTTTAAAAATAATTTCATTAGGGACCAGGAGTCTCATGATGCCAGCAGTTTGGTTTCATTAGGTCTCACCTTGTCAGGAAAAAGTATTTAGTAAACACTATTAAATAGGGAAAATTTGCAAAATAGACCGTTTTTATAAAGTAATTAGTGAAATAGACCACTTTTAAAAGTAATTAACAAAATAGATCTCTTTTTGGCCAATAGGCCAAAAAGAGGTCGATTTTGAAAAAATGGCTTCAGAAAACATACGGGACTACTAGTCCCGTATGTTTTCTGAAGCCATTTTTTCAAAATCGACCTCTTTTTGGCCTATTGGCCAAAATTAGTTAGCTTTAAACATACGGGACTAGTAGTCCCGTATGTTTTCTGAAGCTATTTTTTCAAAATCGACCTCTTTTGTCAAAAAGAGGTCTATTTTGCTACTCTCAAAAGTGGTCTATTTCGCTAATTACTTTATAAAAACGGTCTATTTCGCAAATTTTCCCATTAAATACTATTTTAATACAATTTAAAATTATTAAATACTATTTTGATGCAATTTATGTAATACTTGCATGTACCCTTTACTTTCTTCTTATTGAAAACAAATCACCACTATCTATACCCCCCAATAAATAACATTTTATGCACAAAATATCTCATTTTTAGCCACAAAACAGCCCATCACAGAATCCAGTCAGGACAAAAAAAAAAAAAAAAAAAAAAGAGGGGACC